TACAGTCTCTTATATAAGAAATACAAAATATAAAGAAATTAAAGACTGATATAAAAGATAACAGTAAACAGCAAGATAGACTTTTGCAAAAGATAAGGGAAACTAGAGAAGGAAAAAGGAGGGAGGAAGATGAAAAAAGAATTATGATGTATTTTTTCTTATACAAACTTCCCATGATAAATATTATTCTACATACTACAAACATACACTAATAAAATAAAACAAACGAAGGTATAAAATTTAAGAATTATCTCTCATGGATTCTTCATGAAACTTAAGGCGCATTTATGAACCTCCTACACATGCATATGTTTGTTTGTTAAATACTTATTAGAAAAATAAAATGGAAAAGCATATCCATTACCTTGCCAAATGATCCTTGACCAAGAACCTTGAGTAACTCAAACTGTGCAGGATCTGCTTTTTCATAACCTTCCTTAACATGATGAGTAATAGGAATCTCTTTAAACATAACTTCATCCTGTAAAAAACAAATCCAAAAATATGCAAATCTCCTTTCAATATCACGATTCCCAACTCCCTTAATCTAGCAGATTTTTAGGCTAATATTTTCCCTATTTAAGTGTTTTCCAAATAATGTGTACAAACACCACCACCAACTTCCTTACCATATTATTTCATGTCAAGGGAACCATGTAAAATATACTCTTTATTTCAGCTTACCAAGGAGGTAGCAATAAAAGGAAAGTGTTAACAACTATATCAAGCCCCTCATTAATGTTTGACTTATGAGACAAAAGCAGAGAAATGCAAGCAAAAGATGTAAACTTCAACAGCTCTTTCAAACAGTATTTTCCTATAAACTTTTAAATATTTAGATGTCCAATTAGTCATATAAATGCACAATAAACTGGCATAGAAAAACTATTCAAATCCCAAACAACTTTCTAGGACAAGATACTAATTTTACTGAAATTTTAAATCTAAATCATATGCAAGATTTCCTACCATCTGGGTCATTCATAAAGGTAGCCACCTAGAAACTGTTTTAGCCTCTTGATGCAGCACTCCACTCAGCTATGAAGACTACTTGTGATTCTATTTACTAGAGATAGCACAGTAGCAATTACATATTACAAAATAACAGAGGTGGAACAGATATTAAAACCAATGCTCTCACTGTATATGGAAAAAAACTGAGACTATAGAGTTTAAGTTTACATGAATAGTTAATCACAATGTCTAGAAGTTTTAGTAGCTTTCATTCTACCATGTTCTTGTCTGAGAGAAAAATTGATTTAAGTTGATTAAGGTTCACTCTAACTTATTTACCCTTCAATTCACTGATTAATCAATAATGCTTTGGGGCCAAACTGGACAAGATTATGGTGTCAAATTAGACAGACTTAATGGCAGCTAAAATGACTTCTACATCATATAGGTAGTTAGCCAGTTTCTTGCTCAAAAGAGGTACATTAGAAAAAGGAATTTTAGTCTTAGATATTACAACACACTACTTAAACAGAAATGAATTATCAACTGTGAAGAATGTATCAATGTGTCATATATATCAAAACAGTATTTCACCAAATCCTTTTAAATAATGATTTATAAATATGATTTAAACTAAAGTTTATCATCTATGACTTTCCCTTCCTGAAAGGGACCTAAGAATAATCTTTTTTTTCTTTTTTCTTATTTTTAAGCACTGGACATTAAACCCAGTGCTAGGCAGACAGTTTACCACCAAGTACTAAATTTGTATACTTCTAAAAATGCAAACATAAATCAGGCATTGTGGTCCTATGGCTGTAATTCCAACATAGGAGAACCTGCAGCAAGAGGATAATATGAACTAGGGAATTTGGAGCTGGGGATTTGGCCCAGCAGTAAAATGCTTGCCTAGCAAGCTGGAAGCCCTGTGTTTGGTCCTCAGCAACAAAAACAAAAAATAAACCTATTCTAAAAAACAATTCAATGTTTCAGAACAGAAAGAGCGAGGAGGCTGTTTCTGGCTCCTGTTCTCACACCCACTGCAGTATATTGAGCTCCATAGAAACAGATCCTGGGCAAGTGAGAGCTGGATGGTCAATGCACGACTCTGTACCTCACAGAGGAAAACAAGTAGACACAGGCAAAGGAGATCCTAAGAAGCCGAGGCAAGATGTCATCATATGCATTCTTTGTGCAAACTTGCTGAGAGGAGCACAAGGAGAAGTACCCAGATGCTTCCATTAACTTCTCAGAGTTTTCTAAGAAGTGCTCAGAGAGGTAGAAGACCATGTCTGCTAAAGAAAGAGGAAAATCTGAAGATATGGCAAAAGTAGACAAGGCTCATTATGAAAGAGAAATGAAAACTTATATTCCTTTCTAAAGGAGAAACACAAAAGAAGTTCAAGGATCCCAATAGGCCCCAGAGGACTCCTTCAGTCTTTTTATTCTATTCTGAGTATCACCAAAAAAAATCAAAGGAGAACATCCTGGCCTCTCCATTGGTGATGTCACAAAGAAACTTGGAGAAATGTGGAATAATACTGCAGCAGATGATGAGCAGCCATACGAGAAGGCTGCTAAGCTGAAGGAAAAGTATGAAAAGGACATCGCTGCTTACTGAGCTAACGGAAAACCTGATGCAGCAAAAAGGGAGTCGTCAAGGCTGAAAAAAGCAAGAAAAAGAAGGAAGAGGAGGAGGAGGAAGATGAGGATGAAGAGGAAGAAGAAGATGAACAGGATTAGGATGTAGAAGAGAATGATGATGATTACATTGGTTCTAGCACAGTTTTTTTCTTGTCTATAAAGCATTTAACTGCCCTGTACACAACTCACTCCTTTTGAAGAAAAAAAAAATTGAAATGTAAGGCTGTGTAAGATTTGTTTTTAAACTGTACAGTGTACTGAATGTGTCTTTAGATAGCCTGTCCTGGGGGCATTTTCAATAGCCACTAACCTTGCCTGGCACAGTATGGGGGTTGTAAACTGGCATGGAAATTTAAAGCAGGTTCTTGTTGGTGCACAGCACAAATTAGTTATATATGGGGACGATAGTTTTTCATCTTCAGTTGTCTCTGATGCAGCTTATACAAAATAATTGTTGTTCTGTTAACTTAACACCACTCTGTAATTGCAAAAAAAAATGTTGCAACTGTTTTGTTGACATTCTGAATTCTTCTGAGTAAATATAAATTTTTTATTAAAAATAAATTCAACTTGTCCTATTAATATGCTTAGAAAGTGTCTCATTGATATTTGTTCCTCGATAAAATTAAAAAAAGAATTAAAGAGTAAACAACTTACAGCAAACAAAAAAATTAAAAAATAAAATAAATTCAGCCAAAAAATACAGTAAATTCAAAAATGATGAAAAATAAACAAAGCAACTGAAGAGGGGAATTTATGAATAGCAAGATAGTGATCCTCCAAAAAATGCCTGAATATATGCATTAGAGCTGAAGGTTTTGTATTCTATTAAATCTGACATATATGTAGGCATTATTGGAATATGTGTTTCCCAAGAAAAATAATATATTGTATACTCTAATTGATATTATGGCCATCTGAGTTTTCAGCTATAGGATATTAGGAATATGTTAGTGGTATATGGAACATGGAAAGCACATTAGAGAAAGGATCAGTAAACTTTAAATTCTGTTCGAATATCTGCGGTGCATAATGTTAGCAGCCCTGGCCAAATTGTAAACCATGCTCTATTTCCTTTTTCTTCAATGGCTATGGGGATTGGTTACATAGGCTTTTAAGGTCTCCTGTCGATCTTGGATCTATATTGAACACAGTATTTTTATAGTTAAGATGGCAATTTCAGGTCCCTGGGATGTTTACAATCATTAATGTAAGCATGAATGATAATGCTATCAGTGGCTTGTTTGTTTTTAAAGTGTTCTGATTTAGGAAAAAAACTTTAATCCAATTACTTTCCTGCAACCAGAGCAAGGTTTCTAAAAAATTTGTGGAAGGATCTTTTCTTCATTTTATTAAAATCCATACATGTCCATCCTCTAGAATGCAATGTCTTTCAGTTTTTAGCAGCAGTAAACTAAACAGGTCCTACCAAGAAAATCTACTAAATGAAAAACAAATAACTTTTCTCCGTAGATAGTCACCAGAGGATGCTTTAATACTGTATCTTACCCATTTGTTTCTCCTTTCCACTGAACTATGAGCTTCTTTAATGCAGGTATTACCAGTGTTATGGCTTCTACCTAGATGTCCCACCAAAGGCTCATATGGTCATGGGCAATGTTTTTCAGAGGTAGCTGGATCTAGAGTGTGTAATGCTGGGACTGACTCATGAGGCAATGCTAGAATCAAGATCACCAGCAGCAACAGGATAAATGCTATCCAATTTAAGTAGCCTGAATAAGAAAGAGATGAACAATGTCATCCCTTGTTGCTATGTTACCTTTCTCCTACCATGAACTGTTTCTCCTTTGCAATGCCTGTCCATTGTGCCACCTTGTCTTGGAGCCAGCCAATTATACCCTGAATCCTCTATAAACTTAAATTGAATAAACTTTTTTCCCTTTAAAGGTTTGAGTGTAAAGTATTTTGTCTCAGGAACAATAGAAAATTAACTAAAACAACCACATTTATTTATGTAATCCTAAACACTCAGCACAATACTCACTTGATTGTACAGGAGCAGAAAAGCAAAGCAATACTCACAATTTTATAAAAAGAAAAGAAAGAAAAACATACTTTTAAAAAGAAACATGACCCTTAAAATACATACATAAAGATAATTATGGGAGATAATGAGTACACTAATCCATCTGAATATACCATTGGTATCAAATCACTGTCATGAACCTTATATACACTAAAAAAGGATGTTAAAGGAAAATTTAACCAACAAAAACATCAAAAGTATTTTAAACACATTTGTAAAACAAGAAAAAATATGTCTGAATTGTTATTTGTTTTAGGAAGATACCACTTGTATTAAGTAATTGTCAGTATTCACAAAACCTATGAAGGCTCAACTATAACCTAATGAGCAAGCTATGATTTCTAATAACCGCTGATAATTTACCTAAACCCTGGTAGTCAGCAATTACATAGTCCTGGTAAAACACTGATAAAGTACCAAATAAATTTTGAAATGCCCTACTATTCCATTCCTTTGATAGCCAATTTATCTAGAGGAAAGAAATCACCTATTAATCAGAACAAGAAAGATATGAGAAACAACCTATTAATAAAATACCTAATAATAAAATTTTCAAGAGACTGCAGAATTAACTTCCAGAAAGCAAATCAAAAGAAAAAAGACTTTTAAAGGCTAAATATATTGGGTTTTATGTAATAATGGAACATCCATCACTTCAAACAGTCATTTTATCTTAGGGTAGATAGACCAGCTCAGTAAAACAGATCACTCTCAAACTGTAAGCAATTTGCTGTGGATCTGTTAGAGGTGAAGGGCTGGCCAAATAGTTAAGGGGATTAAAGTGTCTGCAAACAGGTTCAGGGGCTGGAGGTTCAAACCCCTGGACTGCCTTGTTG